CAGAGAAGTTGTGGATGCCCCATCCCTGGAGGCATTCAAGGCCAGGCTGAATGGGGCCCTGGGCAGCCTGCTCTAGTGATTGGCAACCCTTCCCACAGCAGGGGGGTTGAAACTCGATGATCTTTGAGGTCCTTTCCAACCCAAACCATTCTATGATTCTATATGACCTCCACAGGTACTATAGCTTTAAAAACATAATATACTGACAAGTGCTCGAACTACTCTCCAGTATTATGAACAGACATTCCAAGAATTATGAGTTGTGGAGGTTTTTTTCCAGCTTCTCTTATCAAGACTGTTTCCAGTTTGTTCTGTTTCTGTTCTTTCCATACCAACAGAAGCGTCAAGAATGCGACACTGTTCTGTATTTTTGCAGTAGTATGATTGGTTATAGTCTGTCTTATTCCTATGCTATGTAGTTCTTGGACATTCACGCTTCTGTGCAGAGTGACAAGCCTTACAGTTATCAAAGTACATGCATTGGTGAAAATAGAAAGTGCAATCAGCACTTGTTTGTGCATGGGTTTTTGAGAATGAATTCACCAATTTCTTCTCAAAAGGACATAATTTTGAACTTTTGCAATTTCTGGGCTGCTACCTTTTCTTATATGCAAGATTGGAAGTCTAGAGGTTGCAGATGAAAGTATAGCAGTGCAGCAACTGATCTAATCTTGGTAATTTTATTTTAATATATTTTTCTTTATTTACAAAAGTTATGCAATCTAGTAATAGAAATCGAGTGGCCAGTCAGTGCTATCAGGTAAGGGAATGGGAAAAGAAATATAAAAGGTTGACTTGCACTCTGGAGTTTGCATCAGATTTTGTGTTCAGTTGTTTTTATCGTTTTGTTCTTGTTTTTCCTCCTAGAGCCTATAAATCAGCAAGAACATGAATGTTTATTAGGGTATGAAAGGAAAAAGAGATTGCATGCCACACTGGTAGCATAGTTTTTCAGAGTCTAGCCAAGAGCACAGATTGACCACTCAATACATACATAATTGCAGAGACTTTATAACTGTTTCACCTTTGTAGCAAATAATTATGCTAATGTATGTTTTTAAATGACTGATTAGAGCTGCTGATTCATGTTAAAGGAAAAAAAAATTGTAAGCACTACTGTGGAGTGGGTAAAGATCAGGGAGATGCTAAAACTTGCTTTCCTGTAACTGTAGAACATTCTTTTGGCCAGTGTATTGCAATTACAGAGGAGGAAGGATAACCAAATGATTTGAACTTTGTTACTGAGTGATTAATCCCTATGGAAATGGTACCTTTGCCAGATAATATTAGCTGTCGTGCTCTGAGCATCTTTGTTAGAAAGTATACTAGCAGAGACAGTACCAGTCTCTGGTGGCTTTTAGTGTTAGCTCTTGTCTTACACTGAAACATTTCTGCCATAATTCATAGGCAAAGAAAGATATTTTTATAAGTTTAGCCTATAACTAATGAATAGTGGCCTTTTGTAGCTTGAAGCAATGTGCTACAGTAAATATCTTCGGTCTCATATTACTGCTCTAAGAGCAGTGCAATGTAGTGGCAAAAATTGCTGAAGTGGAGGAGATGTGTAGTACTTACCTTTTTTCCCCACAGTTAGGTGATCAACTTGGAAATAAGATGGGGGATATAAGGGAAGGAAACCAATCCTTGTAACAGTTAAATATGTTTTACTGTAAGTCAAAAATAGTCAAATTATTTCTGAACTTTCTAATTGCTGAGAATTTCCTCTCACTTCTCATTATATTATTTCCTGAAAACTGTGATAAGCTCTGCTTGCAGAGTTTATTGGACTGTAACAGCATTTCTTGTGGATCCAATGTGGTAAGATTTTTCGCTGTTGAATAGGTCATATATTATTTTTTCAAAGACATCTGATAAGACAGTTTGTAAGCAGATTGCTTGGTTTTTGCTGTCAGTCAAGGCATTACAGTGTCCTGGAACCACCTGCACATGGGCTCTCTTCTTGTACCTTAGAAAATAGATCTAGGGGGGGAAAATGAGCACTTTTGAAGGGCGTAGTGTTTAGATGTCAGAGCTCTGACAAACTGTTCCAGAAAGTTTGGGATACTCCACAAAGAGTGAGGCATTAGTCAGCTTCTGGTTTTCATCTTTAGCCTTTTAACAGTATTCCTACCAAAGTTGAGGCTTTTTTCTGCTCTGAAATCTGATACAGTATATAATCAACTGAGTAAGCTGCTTTGAAATATCTTAATGGTGGACATACTCACTCTTGTGACTGGAATCAAGTAATGACACAAACCTGACAGTGTATATTCTTTCTGGGGCAGATATTCTTGTCTGGTAGCTCCCCAAAATGTTGGGAGTACATTTTCAGTATGATGCAGCAAGTCTGGTCCTGGGAGGAGTCATGCTGGCAGTCAGTGATGAATGTTTATTGTTGGATTTGGTTGATTAGATACTTTTAATAATCCTCTATTTCATTTAGGTCATCAGAAAGGATTTCTAAAGCAATATCACTATTGAATAATGATAGCTGCGACCTAGGGAGTAGAATAACATAGTAACTTAAGCAGGTTTATCAACATTTGCCTGACCAATTGTGTGTTATCCTATGTTTGGTGAGATGACAGAGAAGGGCCTTTTGGTGATGTCGCCATGAATATGGGTTGCCTCTAGGAGGAACAGAATTAAGTTCACAGACCAGGTTAACTGCTGGAGTGATTATGTGGAAAGGTGCAGTTGCACTGTCCTGCTTGTCTTTTCATTGGAGGGCACTGTGGTAGGGTGGGTGCTGAGTGAACCTCCCACATAATAACAAAGTGTGTCTGCAGTTAGTGTGATCATTAAAAGAAAATGTTAGTGGTTGTCCTTTCTTTGAAATTCAGGTTTGTTTGTTTTGTGTTTTGGTTTTGGGTTGGTTTTTTAATTAAATAATGTTGTTACTATGTTTTCTGAGTTTCCTTCTTTGTTTCCTTTTTAGTTATGTTTCGCTTGTATGATACAGATGGGAATGGATACCTGGATAGTTCGGTAATGTTATTAATGTATTTTAATGCATTGTAAGGGTATATCAAAATGGCATACCTATACAAAATGATATTAATTCAAATTAAGTTTGTATTTCTCCTGAGTTAATAGAAGCAGTATAAACTATAGTCGATAAAAAGTCACTCATTTTGGAAGTAACTCATTTTGGAAGTAACTCTTGAATTTGCATTTCAATTAAGCTGCTCCTTCTGCAGCTGTATAAATTTTCAAATGCTGACACTGCTATCATGGAGTCCTATTCTATAGTCTTCTGATTTTTAATCATATTACTATAGGGGATGTATCAATGTGATTCCTAAAATTCTAGTATGCTACTGGGGGATGTGTATGAAAGTACCATTTGTAAAGATTTAATTAAAAGGGGAAAATGTGAGAGTCACACAGTGCTATGTCTGGAGAGATGTCAGAACTTCCATGTTGTTATTAAGAATGGAGGAACAATATTAAATATTAAAGGCAAAGTTTTGAGGAGTAGCCCAAACAAATGCTTGAAGGAAAATCAGAGATACAGCAATCATTTAAAAAAAATGTAAGTTTTTTTCTTGTAGATGTTAGCTAATATAAAGAAGTATTTTATTGGCAGCTTTCTTTTTTCTTTTTTTCCCCTTTCTTCTTTTGTATCTTCCTGTAGTAGGACAGTATAGAGTGGATTGGTAAAGAAGAGGAGGTGATTCCCATAAGATAGAGGAATAGGGAAGCTAAGGTACATAGAGGTATAAATACTCTATCATATTTTTAGGCAATACAAAATATTAATTACATAACTAGTGCATGAAAAATACACATGAGAATTCAGAATAGTTCTATATAAGCCTTTGAGCATGTTTACAAACTGAACTGTATACATGAATATGGAAAAGCACTAGTGATACGTGATCAAGGGAATTGACAACACTGTAATGGTAAGAAAATACCTCTGTATTAGTTATACTGTCTACTTTGTCTTATTTCCATTAAGAAGTTGTGAATTATACAATTGCTGTCAAAAAATAGTTTGTTAGAGTGCTGGAATTTAAAGGACCATACATCATTATATCACAGGGGGGAATTTAGATCATTAAACTAATGGTCAAATGAACAACTAGGAAGGATCTATTACACTGGTGAACCTGGAGGCTGTTCTTCCATTTTGGGTCTGCATTTCACCCCCCTACACGCTTTGTGGTCCATGCCTGATGTTTGCTAGTGAAGTGAATTTACCTAAGAGGGGTTAACTTCTAGTGTAAAGGGCATTTCATTAGGAACATTGATGAAACAGTGTCACTGAATGCAAAAAATTTTAATTATAAGTTGCTTGCAGTAGAATTTGTCTTTATAATATTGCATTAAGTATTGTAATTTTTTTTCTTTCATCTGTAGGAGCTGGAAAATATAATTGCTCAAATGATGCATGTTGCAGAATACCTCGAATGGGATGTTACTGAACTGAGCCCAGTAAGCATCCATTTTATCACCAGTTTTTAATGTTGCTAGAGATTACATTTAGTCATTTTGTGATACTTCATGTCAACATGTGATTCTATGTATTTTTAAGATAGAAATAATAATAGTCTGTGCTTCACTATGAAACTGTCAATTTGCACTTTTACAAATCTTCTTCTGATTAAATCTGATTTGTGAAACATTGCTGCAGTTTAAGGCTTTTCTTCAGTGCATGTAGCAATTAACATTGATAACACAACTGGTTTGTCTCTGAAAAATTCTTAAAAGTAACTATTATTTGTATTGCACATAGTAAGTACACAAGAGGACATAATTTGTTTTGGGAACTTTAGGTGATAATAGAATGTAAATAGGAATATGATGCTTTATTTTCTGATGTCAGTACTCATTTGAGTACAGGTGACATACAAATAATATTTTCCTTACTCTTTGCAAGTGAATGAGGGAATTGGAGATCTGCGCGTGTCTTCTTGCTATGTTGAATATGGAATTAACGAGATTTTTCATTAAACTGTGTAGATCCTTCATGAAATGATGGAAGAAATTGACTACGATCATGATGGCACTGTTTCTCTAGAAGAGTGGATCCAAGGAGGAATGACAACAATCCCACTCTTGGTCCTACTTGGGTTAGAGAATGTAAGTATTAACATAAGAGTGTCGTGTTTCTGCTTGCATGTCATCTGTGGCCCTCAAGTTAGTTTGTGTCCTGTATAAAGAATAGCTTTTTTCTTTACTATGGATGAATGACATGCAAAGAACAGAAGCGTGTCTTCAAAGTCAGAGGTACGTTAACATGTCTGAAGCAACACCAACTGACCAAGCTCTGGAGCTGGAAGCCGTAAAAACCTGATTAATTTTCCTGTTTACAGCATACTGTTAATTTCCAGCTGCAGTAGTATCTGTGAAGAATGTTTTACTGCCCCCGTGTGTGTTACAGGTCTAGGCTTCTCAGCATGGTGCTGTGTTGTGTGGCCTAACCATACCGAGTCACAGAACAATCGAGGTTGGAAGGAGCTTCTGGAGATTATCTAGTCCAGCATTTTATTAAAGGCAGGGCTGCAGACTGAGTTATTCAGGGCCCTGTCAAACCCAGTTCTGAATTATTCCAGTGAGATGGATCCTACCAGTTCTGTGGGCAACCTCTCAGAGTGTTAATAAAGAGCTCTTAGTGCAGATGCAATTTCTTCTGCAGCAGTTATTGCTGGTTGGCTCTTGTCCTGTCATGATACATGCCTGTGAAGATAGTTCTTTCTCTGTAACTACCTTAATAAACTATACTAACGATATCAAAAAGAACGCTTATACCAAAGGATAGAGTTATGGAAGAAGAGCTTATGCTCTGTACATTTACAACTTCACATTAAAGATAAGACAGATGTAATATGATCAATTTGATACCAGTTCAACACAGCTGTTTTAACACTGGCATGTTGCCAGTGCCACCTGCTGTCCTGTATTTGAGCTAATTTTGAGCACATGTATCTTAACATATGTTTTACAGGATATTCTGTTATTTGATAGAAAAGATTTTAATTTAATTTTTTTTCTGAAGTCTTTTTCAGATACTGAGGTGAAATGATAAATAATATTTACTTTCCCCATATACTGCTATGGCCTGAACTAAACCTAGACTATTGTAGTTGCTCTATAGTATTTTGTTTTCACAAAAAATAGTCAGACTGAGACTTCCTATAGGGAAATATGCAACAAAACAATGTATTTATCAGAAGATCTAAAATTCTTGCAAAATCTTATTAATCAAATTACCAGCTGAGTATCTGAATGTAGGGTAACTTTCAGTACATTTGGATCACTGTAGGTACTAATTTCCTCATTCTATATGTGTGACTGAGTAACAAAAATGTTAAATTACTTCCCTGTCATCAACCAACCAGTCTTTGTCGGGCTGTATTGTTATTTCCACAGAATTAGTCCAAACAAAGGGCAGCAAATGCTCTCAAGGAATCAGTGTAGCAGATAACTGGTAGACATTTTCGTTACAGATTTTTATTGTGTGACACATAGTGTAGTTTTTCTGGGAGTATTTTTCAGTGTCTACACTTCATTCTTTCTAAATTTAAAACTCCTTAAAATCCATTATAAATTAATGCAGGTCCTTCTATAGAGATTTAATTTCATATTAAAGCAAAAGCTATGTAATTAGAAAGAAGCTATGTAAATGTATGTTGTCAGACATTTGTTCCTTTTGAGTATTTTTACTATTTGTTAGATAATTTATCTTACTGTGTGTAGTTTTACTACAGAAATAATAAAAATACTTCAACAGTGATAAAAATTCTGTAGCCCACTATGAGAATAGGTCAGTGTTTCTGTCATCAAGAGTGTTCTCAGTACTTTATGAGTTGAAGAGACATAAATATACTGTTGTGAAAAAAAAATGATAATAGTATGCAAAATACATTCTTGATCAATAAGCATAGTTTTATTAGTTGCAAGTTGGAATAGAATGGATGGGATGACTTTTAATGCTTTTTTAATATTTTACTTTACTGTGAATGAAGTCTATTACCTACAGAACTGTACAGGCTGAATTGCTAGTCATTTGCTAATGATTTACTAGCAAATTATGCCATCCTCATAAAGGGCTCCCATTTTTCTTTTCATGTTTAAAAGTGCTCTTGATTTCTTAAACTTTTCACATAACAAGTTGAAAAAAGCCAGATTTTTAAATTTTCCATCAAACAAGCAAAAAGGTGTCACTTCTGTTTGTCCATTCTGGGACACTGAAAAGTTAAATCAATATAGTTAAAACTCTTTAATACCTGTCCATCATTATTTTGTGTAAACTGATAACATGTTTTTGCTGTTTTTACAACATCTAATGTATTCGCTGAGCTCTTAATTCTAGTGCATCATTCCTTTTAGTGGAATGCTGTTATTTCTTTTTATGTGTTGTAGTTTCTTTTAAAAATACCTGGTATCAGTGAAGTCTCGTTTTGTTTTGGGTTAGCTGATATGGTCAGCCCATTGTTAACTTACTGTGATATTCTTAACTCCTACACAGAAATTGCACAAACAATATGAGATTCTCAGCTGGTGTAATTTGTTGTGCTTGTACCAGTGAAGCTACCACAATTTATTTCAGCTGAAGATTTGCCATAGTACCTTCAGAATTTAACTACATTGTTTGTACTTAAATCTTTAGTTTCCTGTAAGAGCTATATAAAAAGATCAGGTATCATGTAAAAGAATTATATTACATTTAAAGCCTTTCAGTCAGTTTTTATTCTATAGTATATTAGATGCTTTAGTTACAATAATAAAAAAAAATAATCAAAGAAGCATTTAAGTAAAGTATGGAACTATATTATACAAAAATGAATAATGTTTATGTGTTTATAAACAATAGGGTTGAGATAGAGTGATCTCTCACAGGTTTGTGGCCTTTGCCCTCTGATTTCATCAGTAATCCCCTTCTGAAAGAGACAGTAATAGGTGGTTGTTACTACAAATATTAGCCAGACAGCTGTTGCCAAATTGAAAAAAAAAAAAAAAAAAAAAAAAGAAATCTGCCTGATTATCCTTTACCTAAACAAGGTTTGCTTTTTTCTTTTCTGTCCTCCCCCCCCCCTCCCCCCCCCCCCCCCCCCCCCCGGTTTTTCTAGACTTTCATGAAACTTCTAGTGCCCTTTCAAATTTCGTTGAGATTGCTGAATTATTTAAAAGTTGCTGGAGCAGTTTAAAGTCATGGAGATAAAGGGACAAAGAACATAAATAACTCTCATTTCTCTAGGAAATCAACCCAAATATCCAGTTTTATTTTATCTTATTGGGTTTATATGCTTTCTGTTTCCTCCTGGAACTTGTGTTTAGAGTTTCTGTGAAGGTAGAACTTAGAAATAGGGAGAGTTTTATCTCTGGGAATGTTCCTGAATAGAAACAAGATATTCTTATTTTGTTGCTTTTCAAGGCATTTGGTGTGCTAAACAATTTCAGTACAAGATAAGGAATTTAAATAAGAACTTAACAGGTTTTTATTCTGTAGGGGTACTGCGATAAACATACTGTTTGGAAATCTGTTTTGTGCGAAAAGACCTTGGAACTGTAGGCATCTATGTCCAAATGGATAATACATGTATACACTTTTTCTACTTATCAGGGACTGAATGTGTTCTGTACCACAGCTACTGACACTTTTGTATTTAAGACCTGTAGTTGTTACTCTGAAGTATTTAGTTGTGCCAGTTTCATTGAAGCTGTTCCAAGAAATTCTCTGATGAAAAGTGAGAATTTCATTAAGGAAAAAAAAAAAATAGGGTAACTGTAGAGGAAGATGCTATTTATGTGGTGCAATTTTTAATAAAAACTGTACAAGGTAGAGTATTTTTGCTGAGTGTCACACTTCAGTCTGAAATTTTCACAGTCCTCATCAACTTTCCAAATTTATTTTTGCTTCTTAAGGCAATAGTCTGTTTGCCTCCCATGCAAACACAGACTAGACAGAGATGTCCCTGCGTTACTCCTTCTGGTTGATAATTACACTTTTGGGAGGTGGCCTATTGCATAGTAGTGACCACTAGGCTTTTTATTCTACTACTCCATGGTAGAAACTTTTAAAGTTTCTAACCTTTTAATTTCATTCTGTGTTAAAGTACCTCAGAATTTGCAGTGAAATTTGAGAGTTACCCCATTGACTCTCGTAGCATTGCTTAAAATGTCCTTTGGAATCTGGGCACAAAAAGTTACTTAATAATGGTTTGCTCCTAAGGGTTTTTGTCGGCAGTGAGCATTGTACTCTGTTCTTCGCTTGGAGTTCTTCACTTGCACAGTATTATTCCACCCTATTCTAATAAAAGCACTTGATTTCTCTTCTAAAGTAATTCCATGCCAGATATTTTGATCTCGCTTTTCTTATAGAGGATCATTACTACCATCTCTGTCAGTGATTGTACAAAAAGTAAGCATAAACTACAAGTTGACAAGTGCTCATGTTACTAAAAAAATCCCATGTTTTAGGAGGGGAAAGTATTTCATTCCTTTTTCACTAGCCACTAGATGTCACAGTTGCACTGTGCAGTTGCTCAAAAGCTGCCTAAAGGCGAGAGAGAAATTGAACAATAGTTAAGTGCTTGGTAAAGTCATAAATAATCTGAAACCATGCCATATGCCTTTATTTTAAGTCACCAATTGTAATTTTCAACCCATTTCACCTTTTAAGTCAAGGTAAGTCTCAATGAGACAAACACATTTCTGTTGAAGTGTGACTATGCTTCAATTAAATCAGAAGGAAATATTCTTACAATTTTATTTGGGGTCCTTAAGCAGGAAAAAAATATGCTATTACACTCTAAGAAGTTAAAAGATAGTTTAACTTTTTTTTTTTAATTAAATATAGGATGGGATACTCGAGTGTGAATACACACTTGGGAAATACTGCTTCTTTACATTATATATTGCATTATTGTTTGCTTACTTTTCGAGCTCTGAGTATGTGAAAGTGGAACCAAACTGGGGACTTGCAAGCATTTGCAAGTCTGGTGTGGGATTTGTTGCACTATGAGGAGTCCCTCTCAGGCTGAAGTATGAAATGACTGTTCAGTACCTAGGCAGTTTGGTAGAGTTGTATTTCTTTAATTCAGCAAGAAATGAGGGTGATCTGGCCTTTCATTTTCCCTAGTGATATTTGTATAAGTCCTGTCTGAAGTCTTGAAGGTGAGTTTTTTAAAAGGCTGAAGTGTGAGTGAGCCGTGTGCTATTTCCTTATGTACAGAGGGCAAAACCAAGCCCCTCCTAGAAGAAGCTGTAGCTTGCCCTCTTTGTGCCAAGCCTTTAGCATCTGGGAAGCAGATTCACCCCAAGTGATAACTGGAGCTATTTTACCAGTATCATTTCACGGCATTGCCAGCAGAGGGGGTAACCTTAATGTTTTGTGAGACTTCGTAGCAGGAGCTGCTAAAAAAGTGCACATCTCTCTTTTTGACCGTGCTGTCTGCTTTTATGCTATGCTAGCTCCCACTTCTTTGCAGGAAGTTTGCAAATGCCTTTCCTTTAGCATGTAGGTTGGTAAAAGCTCAAGAAAAGTCAGAAGTAACTCTAATCTGTTCTGTGTATAAAGTGTAAAATAAAGGGTATTTTGTGCGGGTATACAGATTTACAGTTATTTAAAATGCAATTTCTGCAACATTTCAGACTCTGCAGATGACAGGTGACTATTTAGGATCAGGGAAACATGGTAGGGTGGCTAATTGTAAAGCTTGTTTAAACAAATTAATTTCCCCTCCTGTGCTCTGTTTTCTATGTTGTCATTTTCTCATGTGCATATTAATGCTTAAGCATCTCTGGATGATCAGGATAGTACACTGGTGAGTGCACGGATGAAGGCTGGGAAAGTGATGTTTTTTCTTCTTTTTTTTTTCTTTTTCCTTTCTTCAGCACACACACAGAGACACACAAAATATGGTGTAAGTTAGAATAGCTTGTCTCTTGAAGGAGGCTACTCCCTCTCCAGATGAACCAAAACAGACTTAGAATCCTCTCTCCCTAAACCCAATTGAACAAAACAAAACCTGAATTCTTTGCTGAGCGCCAGCAAAGGAATATAGAACTTCACTGTGCTTTTATTAAAAGGAGGTGCTGTGTGGTTTAATGGACACTCTTCTCACCTTCCTGCTAACTGAACAATACCCAGAGATCAGTCATAAAAATGTCTTCATGTAAATATTTTTTAAATGAATGAAAACAAAATAACAGTAGGCAGCAAAAAAAACCAAACAACTTAGCCGACTCAGTAACATTCTTCTCCTTTGGTTGTTTGTTACTGACTCTTTTCATAGAAAAGACTGAGCATGCTGATATTTCAGACACTGTAGCTATTTTAAGATGGGATACTTGCTAGGATGAAAATTTATCAGTGATTTAATTACCTTTTTTAAGTCTCAGATTCTGGAATTTTTTGCTTGAAACCTTAAGATCTCTTCAGCTACCTTTATTTAAAAATATCTAAAAAACTGAAGTAAATTAATATTAACCCAGATTAGGGATGTGTACCTAAATTCTGTGGCTGCATAAAATTTTCCTCTAATTCTAAGGCTGGATCTTTCATGGTTGACTTGCTTTTTAAGGTCAGGTCCTTTTGGCAATCAAATCCGTGGTAGAAGGGTCAGGACCATAAGTTAAGAGAACCGTTGTTAACAAAATAAATGTCACTGTTGTCATTATGTGCTAAAGTCTGAATATGGCATATGGAGGCTTCATTTTCAGTAATGTATAATGAAGTGAGGAAGAGATTTTTACTGTACCTGCCTGACTTTGAGATCTTCTTAATGACTATTTGTTTTTAAACTCTTTCTCCGGATACGGAAGCAAAATGAGTGAATGTCAGTAAATGCACTGATGTGTCAGAATTGTGGATTTTATTCATACTTAAAGACTTGCATTGAGGTGGCTGTGTTACACATTATGTTTTTTTTTTTTTCTTGACAGTGTTTTAAAAAGTTATGTGCATGCATAATCATACACAGCACTTTATTGCTTTTTTTTGGCAGTGCACAAGAGCAAAAATGTAATTTGCTATTTTCCAAAAGTGCATTGTGTTTATGTAATGGATTTGCATCAGTTGCAGCCTGTAACAGTTAAGTGTTTTAATTGGCAGAACACCCACATCAAGACTTGTTTGTTTTTTTGATAAGGAAAATGCTAGCTAAGTCAGTTCACATGTTCTGTTCAAATGAGAAATGACATATTCACATTAAATGGACATTCTTTAAAAATAAAATTAAAATGAAAAAGTAACATAAAACTAATGTGGAAGAGGAGCAAGCTTATGCATAATTATGCGTTTTTGTTAATTTTCAGAAATAGCAAATATTTTGCTGTGGAAAGGTCTTGCTTGTATTTTAAGTGTTTGTGGTTTATGACTGTATCTCTTGATGACCTGAGTAATGTTAAAATGTAAGTGTATGTTGTTTGCTGTTTTTTCTCATTCTCTTGATGACCTGAGTAATGTTAAAATGCAAGTGTATGTTGTTTACTGTTTTTTCTCAGAAGGATTTAAATGGTCTTTATTGTCTAGTGAATAACTATTTTCAGAAGTCTTGAAATTCACATACTGCATAGTAGTTTAACAATACTTTGAAAATACCTGGAATGTTCTAGTAAAATGGAAAGAAAAATAGAAGTTACAGAGCTCCATTTAATGAAATACATCCTCCTCAGCTGCCAGTCGTGATGGAGCTTGACAGGCTTCTAGCACTCCACAGCTGCAGAATCTGTTTCCACTTCTTCAAGGGAAACTGGAAAACTTCCACACTCTTTTGCCAGCCTGAGAATCCCACATGAGGCATCTGCTCTGCTCTTCTGCAGAAAGCGGACACTGACATTGCCCAGCTGTCAGAGGTGGCATTTGAACTCCTGCTGATAGTATCGGGGGAATTCCACTTAGGCTCTGATCCTGATATCTCAATAGAGAAAAAATATTCCAGCTAATTTCAGTTCCTTTTGTTTCTAGGTAATTTGTAGGAATTATTTGAAGTTGTGTTCTATCTAGGACTTGGCTTTGAACCCAAACATTCTTAATTTCTTGCAATGCTAATTTTCCTTCAGAATTTTTTTTTTCCCCACAAGAATAAAGTCTTAATAATCTTTGACCTATCATTAATGGCTGACTTAGAGCAATAATGATTTTTAAGGACATAGCTCATGCAGTATATGCTAATACAGGACAAAACTGACTTTTTGTTGAAATTTGTGTCCACTGACTTACTTTGACTGTACTTATCAGTGAAAGCCATTATATTATTGAAGATCTAGTCAGGAATATTGTATATACATGATGATAAATATTTTTGTAGTTCAATGTGAGAAATCAGAAACTGGATGAGAACCGCCTGTTGATGTGGCTTCTGAGAACCAGAGATTGATGTGGCTTCCTTTAGCTATGTGGCAATTTCTTTTTGGTAATGAAATGACCAAGAAGACCACAGTGTTTCAGTAATACAAAATGAAGAATCAAACTACTGCGACCCATTTCCAGCTGATGGACATTAACTGCCTTTGTTCCATTGGATGTTATTATTGTTAAAAAAAAAAAAAAATCAAGTGATATTACATTAGGTTAATCTAATTTTTTAAATTCAAAACCTCTAATGACTGCAAAAAGAAAGTCTGATGGCCACACTTGCCAAGAAACTGGAATTTACAGAATTAATTTAGCATCTGTACCAAATGCACATCATTTTACAAACCTTCTAATAATAGTGAGGTCTCAGAACCATTAAGAAGGAAGAGGAGAATTGTGCAACTGAAAGCTTACTTTCATAAATGTAAATGATTATAGTTTTACATATGAGTTACAGTGGGCCCCCAAATTGTATGTGCTGATCAGTTGGTCAGTCTATTCGTGCAAGTTCTGAGTATAGTGCTGCAGCTAACTGAAAAATGTGGGCTTATTTGTAAGGAATTCAATTTTTAGATAAGAGGTCCAGGATGTAAATCTCTCCCTTAAAAACTTGCTTTTTGATAGACTATTGGCAGTAGATTAACATAAGTTAAAGCTGGTAATTGGTATTACTGTGGTGTGTAGATTTCCCACTTCATGTATGTTGATACGTGTTCCTAATTCTAAGGGTCATTAAGAATATGTCTGCATTTAAAAAAAAAAACAAAACATTTCTGTTGTTCATTTTGAAGAGGTTTACCTTCTAACCTGCAGCACCTTTAACTTTAGAAACAGTCTAGAACAAATTTTAGTTCATTTTAGTATTAGTTATGATTTAATATCAGCCTAGACTTATTGCTAGCATTGTGTTGCAGTAGTGACAACAGCCTGGTGTTTTTTCTGAGTCATTCTTGAGACATATGGATGTTCATGAGCTCCTGAAGAATTTTTTATTATATCATTGCCTGTGTATTTAGAATGATTATACTGTGATCTGGTGCAGAGTATTAAAGAAGTAACAGATTGTCTTTTACATTCTTGAGTTGATCTCAAATTTTTATTGGCACTTATATATTTCATTGTTTATTTTATTAAATGAAATGTTTCTTTTATGTCCTGTGCAGAATGTGAAAGATGATGGGCAGCATGTATGGAGACTGAAACACTTTAACAAGCCTGCTTACTGTAATCTTTGTTTGAACATGCTAATCGGAGTAGGCAAGCAAGGCCTCTGCTGTTCCTGTGAGTATAAGCGTTTCAATGGCCATTTGCATACATGCCTCTATTCCTAGAAGTGTTCCACTCACTGCGTAACAAAGAACTAGTGGCTTCCCAGTGCAAAACCATTGCCAGCACAATGGTGCCTCACCCTTTGTCTGCTACGCTTGAGCACTCAAGGTTCCATTTTTAATCTTTCAGGATATTGGGCTTTCAAAGCTGTTGTTTAAGGGACTTTTCTGTATTATAATAGCTCTCAGTGTTAGCTCCCTTTGGAGTATGCCTCTCCTCCTCTCCTCCTGTCCTCCTCTCCTCCCCTTCTTATTGTCCTCTCTCCTCTCAGCAATTATCACACTTACGTTTCAGCTGTATATTTTTGTTGTTTATTCAAATTTTGCACAGAATTCTTCTTTTGTTGATTATGAAGGTCAAAATCCCAGTCTCCCAGAAATCAAGTTTCTGTAACACTTCTAAAGTTTTGTATGTTTACTTGGTTTGTAATCATAAAGCTCAGTCTTGCCATCCTTTCACGTATTAACTGATTATAGATTTTTAAGGTCAAGGAACAAAGAAAAACTACTACATCTAATTTGACGTTCATTAAACTATTAGACGCAGTTACTACAGTTCTATTTCTTGAGTTATATCTGTGTGCTTCCTAATAATCTGTGTTAAACCATCTTATAACCTGTATCTTGAGAAATCAAATCTTGCTGAAAGATACTAGTCTCTGTTTGAATGTTTCAAGAGATGGATGATCCATATCTTTCTTTTGTGGTGTGTTCCAATGATTAATCATCTTTTTTTTAACAAAGACCTCTTTTCTGCTTTTCTGATTTGAACATGTCTGGTAGACTATTCCAGTGATAGGTTCATGTTATTCCCTGTTCCATTAGATTAATGAGACCTTTAGTACCCATTGTATTCTTCTCATGATGGTACCAAGTCAACTTTCATTGTTCTTTTTGATAAATTAATCAGTTGCTTAGTGTAACTTACTTTCTCCATTTTTGTATGAAAGATAGCCCATCATAGATGCTCTGAACCTTTCTGCCTGTACGGTTCTATTTATTTAATTTGAGATTAGTCTGAATAAATTAAGATTTTGGAATCAGCTATTTCTCTCCTCTGTGGGCCACAGATCTCTTTAAAACATAAGGTAGATGTAAATCCTCCATTTATGGGATTTCACACTTAAAATTTGATTCATAATACTATGTAATGAGAGAGATATTAAAATTCAAACAAATAGAAATTGCATAACTTCAGATTAATAAATGCTGATGACAGTTAAGTGGAATATATATATAATGCTGAACTATTAGAACTGGAAATTTTACATTCTTTAATATTATTTTATGTCAGACTGTAAAGAAATGTAAGACCATATTTGTTTGAAAGAGAAAATTCTATTGAGCAAATAATGTAGATCATCTTCAGTAGTTATCAGAAATATGTAGACTAATTATATAAAGTAAACTGCCCCACAAAGACCAGCCTTACAAGAGCTGCAATTTTCTCTACTACAATGTACCTCTTTGAAGTGTATTTGTTATGGTGCTTGGCATTTATTTGGTGAGAACAATAGTCCCAGAGTATCTGAAGAACATCCATATGCTCCTTTCAGTTACTTCACGCAGCAAGCGGCATCAGTCTGCTTAAAAACTCTTACACTATTTCCTCATCTCGCTAAGCTTCTTTAATATATTTTCAAAGCATTGCTATAGATTTCATTATTTGCATTTTAGATTGTGTGGGAGGAAAAAAACAAAAAAGGAAACTGCAGGGGGCCTCACCATCCCTCCATAGTCCAATCAACAATGTTACTCCCTGCAGTTTGTCTGATTAATGGTTGCGCCTCCCACTGGGTTTGTGTAATAGGTGCAAGCAAGGTGTTTAGAAGTACTTTGTGCTTAATTGCTCTCGAGGTCAAAAGCATGAGACATATACCATGCAGAGAGAAATTCATTCTCAGTTTTTAATAGCTGACTCTATTGAATGCAGGTATTAGCTGTAGCATTTTTTCCTCATCTAGGCACAGCTGTATGGTTGAAGACAGGAGAGCTTTGCCTTGTACCCTGACATTTGTCTGTTTTCCAAATGCAGCTAGTGTGGTCTTTACAGACCTGGTCAACAATAGTAGTTACCTAAAACTGGTGTGGAGGGGTAAGAAAAAAAAAGCTTCTTAGGAGTCAGTGTTTGGGAAAGTAAGAGTTAAAGTTGGGGTGATTACATGGAATGCATGAAAACAATTGCTATCTGAAAATGGACTTATCAGCCATTTAAGATTTTTAAATCAATAGAAGGAACAACATAAATTCATTGGCTTTTATTTTTGTGCTTGCCAGCTGCTCTCATGCCTATAGTTTGTAAAAGATAGATTTCCTTCTACTAGCAAATGACACCAAACCATTTGGCAGTCATCAATTTGTCTTTAATATTTTTGTCATTTGGGAATTATTGTGAAAAAATTTAGTGAGCTCTGATTTAATTAAGCATTTCCTGTTATGCAATGATAGTACATTCTTGGGTTTCTCACTTGCATAATATTTCCTGTTCTAATTCGCCTTTTGTATTTAATGGAAAAAGCAGTCTAGTTTGAGTTTTCATTGACTGATTGGATTGATTATATAGAGATGGCACGCTGGTAATGTATTTGTGTCATAAAATATGTACTCAGAAACACCATTGTCTCAACATCTATTAATGTGTTTCTTTTTTCAGTTTGCAAGTATACAGTCCATGAGCGCTGTGTCTCAAGAGCTCCTGCATCTTGTATCAAAACATATGTGAAGTCCAAAAAGAATACTGATGTAAGTTTGAGGTCTCATTAACTTTACTACGTACCTGTTAATTGAGTAACTCTATGTATATCCACACTTTTCTTTTGCAGGTAATGCATCATTTCTGGGTAGAAGGAAATTGTCCAACAAAATGTGATAAGTGTCACAAAACTATAAAATGTTACCAAGGCTTGACTGGACTTCACTGTGTTTGGTGTCAGATCACAGTGAGTATACGGTAGTAAAACCGTAGCACAGGTTAGAGAGACAAAAATATACATATCTTTTTTTATAGCCTCATATTTCAAAGGTCTCATTCAGTTTTGTCATTAGGAATGGATAGTGTGTGTTTAAGAAATGGCATATATAGAATATTAATAGGAGTCCTTAATTGTTGCAAGCGAATATGCTTAAAGGTATACTCTGTTTCAACACAATATACAAATGGAAATAATATATGTCATTACAAAGAGCAGAATTCCCAATCTACGTTACAGAAAGATTATAAAAGAGTTTTTAATACTGGGGAAAGTCAAGGTCACTGTGACGCTAGGGCAAAATCCTGATTTGTGGTGTACTGACAGGCAAATGAAATTGAGGACGTCTGGTAGGATACAGTGATTTCAAGTGTCTGGGAGTAATAGCAGAGACATCTTGATAATACACTGATCTGTGCACCAAGTCTAATATATACAACTTTTTTGCAGTCTTTCAGGAACCAATAACTGGAACTAATGACATTCAGGGAACACTGCCCTCATAAGTGAGGTCTTCATGCTAGAAGGAACAATGCCAGTATTTCTGTTCCTAGCCAGGGCAGGATTTAAATCTAAATGGGGGGGAATTCAGCCTTCTTTTATTTTTTTAGCTTTTTTGCTGATATCATTGTTATTATTGTTATTGTTATGGAACAGCAGTTGTTTGTTCAGTGTTTGAAATAATAATATGAAACTGAGGCATTAGTGAATAATTGTTTTAAACATACAAGTTTGGATGTTTTATGACATATTTTCTTAACAGAAGAATACAAAATATGAAACATCATCAAAGAAAATAGATCCAGGATACTTTCAGTGATAAGCTGTTATGATTACTTAAAAACCAATATTTTAGAAGAAAGCAAATATGTAGTCCAGATTGCTGTCAAAATTTGGATAATTTATGTAGAGATTAAAACACCCAATCCAAAATTTTTGCATGCAGATAATTAAATATAGGCAATAGCTATCTGTATTTAGATAGATAAATAAGAGTGTTCCGCTCTAGATACAGAAGTGTTTAGATCTGTATAATATGTGTATATCATTCAATAAATACATATTATCTAAGGCTCCCTCTTAAAGTCAAAGGAAATTGCAAATGCTGCAGCTCCTCAGAAAAAATTTTTTTGCATTATTTCATGTGAATCTGGACCAGATTTGTAAAGGCCTTTTACTTCTTGAAGGTACACACAAAGATTTAGAGGATTTCCACAGGAACTGATATTCAGTGAGGAAATACCAAGGAATTTGGTATATCAATACAAATATCATTGAAGTCACTGTGAAAGAAGAGGCTAAATTCTTTTAAAAATATCTTAGGTGCTTGTGTGCATATTTAAATCCATGAATATCTATCAATATTCCAATTTAAAATGGGCCTATGTTTTTTGACAGCCGAAATTGGAAGTGTTGGCACTGAGGTTTACAATTTTGCAAATGTATTTTCATTATTATTGTAAAGATTTGTATTTTCTGTAAAAATAATGTTGTATTTTCAAAATAGCCTTATTAATATTTTTAATTATTTTTTATGGCTTCAGGTATAAATTAGACACAAGGGAAAAAAGAGTCGTTTTAAAGTTTAAAAAATACTGCAAATTATTGGGTTTTCAATCTCCAATTCTCTTGCAATTCTGTATATTCTATATATTCTATTGCAATAACTGTCTTTGCTGATAGTAACAACTTTATTACTGAAAAAGTGTTTTAAAATTCTAACAGATGCGTGACTTTTGAATTGATGTTCTGAAGTTACGTAATTATCATGACATCCTTCATACATCTTCAGCTCCTTGTAGAACACCACATTTAGGGCTTGTTGCTGACGTATTTTTGTAATGTAAGAGGATGCTAGTAATTATGCAACTAGTTGTGAGCCTCTTTCATGCAGTTTAAATCTCTCTCCTCCTTACAACTTCATAGAGTCACTTCTAATGTCAAATAACTGAATCAAATCCCAAAATTTAGAGATGGTTTTCATTAAGGAGGCTTGTTATACTGAGTTCTCAGGCAGGCCCAGTATTCCCTCTTCCATATAATCTGAAGCTCTCTACCATGGTCTTAATTTTCTGTCCAGCAAGTATGGGTTTTCCCACTTTGCAGGCATCTGCCTGTGAGGGAAGTAATATTCTCAAGGAGCTAGGTTTGGGGTAAAGGAATTTTGAGGAGATGTATTTAAAATCTGCTGAAATATTTTTTGAGAAGAGATGCGTATTATTTTATTTCATTGTGTCAAAGTGTTATTTTAATTAAAGCTACGTCTTCTACCATTTCTGTCATCTGCTATGTGCCAATTCTGTTGTCAAAGATCAGCAGAGACTAGGAAGAAGATTAAGCTATTTTTTCATAGATAAGTTTGCATGCCACCGAGTAGCAAAGCTGCTAATTACCACTGAATGTGTGAAGATACTTCTATTTGATGAAACATGGCCTGGTGTGCATTAATTATGGTACAAGTAGTCTTACCACTGAGGCAGAGAATTAGCATGACAAATGATTTAGATTACAGGGCTACCAAAATACCCTCACAATAAGGTTTTAATACTCAGAGTAAATCAAAACTCGTAAGACTTTTATTTTCTGTTGCTAAGTAACTGCCTGAAAAGGTAACTTTGCAGTATAAATGAGTATGGGCAAGGCTAATACTAGGTGCCGTTCAGTTCAAAATTCAGAAATGTTATGTCAACATTAACTGTACCAGATAACTTTATGAAGACCATATTACCAGTAAAGCTATATACATCAGCAGCTGGTACAATTTTATTGTAATTTTAATAGAGTTCATACTGACATAGTTAAATCGTCTAAGGGAAAATGAATCAGTCATTGGAAAAATGTGATTTACAGATACAGACACTGGACTACAGATTTTATAACACGTATTGAACCTTTTGAACTAATGCTGTATGCTACCTATTATGCTAGCTAAATCACTTGTTAAAGAAGATTTTTACTGCAAAATTTCTGATATTTATTATCCTGATTATTTTACTTTAATGCAAATATACATATGTGCTAAAAAGATAAAATATTCTCTGTGGGAAATATGTGTTACCTGGAGAACTTAATGCACATTTTATTGAATCAATGCAGAAATAGAATCATAGAATCATTTAGGTTGGAAAAGACCTTTAAGATCATTGAGTCCAAAATAATAAACTTTGAAACAAATTTCACATATGAAGTTGTATTTTATTGTGGTTATCTAGTAATACGGTAAAGTATACCAATTAAGTGTGAATGCTTTGCATGGTCCAGGCATTCAACTGTGCCTTTGTACTGTGTGGCTGGATATATATGTTGAGATATTTTATTTAGAGACATTTGAATTGAGTTAAATCCTAAAATATCATCAAGAACTCTTGATTGCTAATGTAAAATATTTCAATAAATATATCATTATGTGTTGGCATTTTATGTTGATGTTGTGTGCACATTTTTCCCTTTCACCTTTTTAACAATGCAGAAGCCAATGCTCTTTCAGTCAGCAGACCTGAGAATATTCTTTCCATGTTTTCAGAGTAGAAATTGTCTCATTGCTTTTGGGACAACTGGATGAATGCTAAGAATAAAGTAGGAAAAGAAGAGTAATTCAGGTTCCTCGGCAATCAATACAAGCCTGAACATTGATTAATCAAGACCAAAATTTCCCCAATATAGCTTAAAGCTCCTAGATATTCCTACATTAATCATTTATTTTCATAGATATTGCAGCATCGCAATTGAATTGGTAGTGACTTTATCAGCTTCAGGTAGGAAGAAGAGTTGTACCAGTAATGCCAAAGAGTGCCCTGAATTACCCAGATTGCCCAGTAGTAGTAGAAGTTCCTAGCTCAGTGCAAGAAGCTGTCTTCTGGAATGAAGATTTTGATCCCAAATAACACTATGCTGAAATTGCTGTACTGCCATGCAACATTCTCATTTTGTGTGCTGAACCACATGTGCGATTTCCAAACTGGAAAATTTTGATCTGCTGTTCTTTGCTTCAGTATAAATTAATTGGTTTTGTCAATCCTAAGAGGCTTTCCACTGCAGTATTTTCCTTTTCCTTGTAGTACTCTAGTAATAATTAGATTAATATAACTCACCTCATTCTAGGATGCTCATTTTCTTAGACTGTAGTAGTAAAATGTCTAATTTAGGTCTTCATTTTCTGTCTTCCCATAGCTGCATAACAAATGTGCTTCACATCTAAAACCTGAATGTGACTGTGGACCTTTGAAGGACCATATTTTACCACCCACATCAATCTGCCCTGTAGTATTGGTGAGTTCTCCGTAAGTTTATTTCAGATGTAATGCTCTGTCATAGGTAACAGCTAAAACAATGTTGGAACTGACTGCCAGAATATTTTTTAAATTCACAGAACTGTGTGAAACTTAAACACAATGGACAGTGATGGCTGATGAGTTTATAGACACAAGCATGCTTTATCCTCTGCATATTGCATTTTCCTTCGTGTAGGAATGAACTTTCTGTAGGGCATATTGTAACTGAAGCTGACTCAGGTTTTATCATTTACTCAGACTGTACTTACCAGAAACTGTATAGGCAGAACACTTCTACATTTTACATCTTTTATAGATCCAGCTTCCCAGAATAATGAAGTTATTCTTATGGACAGTTTCTGCTTGGGATGCATATTGTATATCTGCAATGCTGAGGTCTCTGATCTAACCGGAGGTTACCTAGAATGATGACACTGGTCTTGCAGTAAGCTATGCATCAACATTATGGTATATTTTATTCTGCAGTCGTGGACAGTAAATTTCTCTGTCCACAAAAACAATAACTCAATTCAGTGAAAATAAAAATGCATGCTATGTGTAGGTTGTATAGAAAAGAGCTGACCGGTTTATCATGAAAAAAAGAGCTTTGGAATTAACTTACCTATTCATTTATTAAATTGGATGTTTTATGCTGATGAAAGTTATAGACATCATCATATTCATAATAGAACAGATGTGTGGTCCTCTTACTTTAAATATATTTCATAATAAGAGTAAGAAATTCTTGAACTTAAGAAAGAATGATACATTACAGGGAGGAAAAACAAGAAAAGATACCTTCTAATCTTAAACGTGTTTCTGATCATTAAGAATAACCTTCATGTTTATTGTAAATTACTTTTTTTCTGATTAATCCTTGGCTGTTTGTTTATAAATCTGCTAAAGGATGGATGCTAGACTTTGGCTCTCTACTTGTGTAAACTGGGACTATTCCATTGCTGTCACTGAAGGTAAAGCAATGGAAAGCTGGCTTTAATATTTATGAAATATTTTTAAATATTTTTGAAAAATTATAAGAGTAGTTTTGTAGTTTGTCTGTAATAGTATTTTGGTGTTACCTATACAAGTTCTGAGTAATAATTGTGAAAGATTATTTTAAGTATGTTGGATTATTACATTCTGCATTACATTATTTAATTTTTCAGGATTTTAGGTCATACTTTAAAAGTTAACATACAGAAATTATGATTTTGTTATTGGACTGGTTTCAGCTTATTGTTATTCATTGTTTGCCATTTTTATAAACTGAATAAAGCCTCAGCATGAAATTTCATCTTCAATTGTATTTGCGTAACTCCATTTTCTTTTTAGGAGAGGAAGAGGGATAGAGGAATTAAGATTTTCATTCCACAACTGGAGTTTAGTTAAGTTGTTTAGAGGATATATAAAACCACTCTAGAGTCCCATCACCCTTAAATAGGTTTGTGTCATCTGCAAATTTTGAAGGCATAAGAAGAAGAAAATATGTTTTCCTGTATCAGAATCATGTTTCAGTATTACATACTAATAATGTAACATAAATCATGTATTTCAGTCAAAGGTATATTGTTAGGAATGGAAAATGTATTTTTACTGTGATTTAGTGGGAACTTCATAATTTTGTAGTATATTTGTTCATCTAGTAGTTTCTTTCAAAAATGCATTAAAATCCTGAGTATACCTCCGTTACAAATAATACGTCAGTGACCTAGCTAATAGGAATTCCTCCTAGAAATGATTGATTACAGTATACATATTATTTATCTTAGTAATTCTTTAATTAATTTCTCCCATTTCCTGTTACAGGGATTCCTTTTGAGATACATAATACTTCAGTGTATGTGAAAGCAGCACTCTCAATAATGGCAGCAAAACCAGGAATATATACATGTCAAAATTGTCTGAAGTTACAATAGGAAGTGTGTCTGTTAATGGACATGATGTGTTCAGACATATCAAATTTGATGTACCTGACAGTGGAAGGGTCTTTCTCCTAGGACACACATTTACCTTCAGTTATCGGCTGACAAATAATATTCTTGCAATGCTACATTTATGTCGCAAGTAAAGAAAATCAGATAACCACAGTGCTTTATATACCAGGTTTATCCTTGAGTATTTTGAGGTATTGGAGAAGAGCATATCTCCTTCTCCCATAGAATGAGTTATAGGAGTTATGGGAAAATAACAAGTTGAAAAATCTTGTGTCTTTGAACTCCCAAGAGTTCAGTCCCTCCCTTCCATCTGTAACTTGGGTAGTCTGGACTTCTTCCAGAAAACTGTCAGAGTTAATCTCAGACCAAGTTGCTTTCTCATAAGTTTTCCTGCAATAGTATAAGCTAAATCCTTTCTCATCTTTTCTCTTTTGGGGAACTAAGGACATTCATATTTTTTTATTTCTCATCCGGCATGTCTCGTTTCGCCAGCCTTGACTCTGTATGCAGAGATAAAGATTTTTTTTTTTCATAGATTGTATTTCACAGCTCTGTGTATTATATTAGAGCTACCTAACTGGTCTCTCAGCTGCAATTTGTTGTTCAGGTCCGTATCTTCTCAGTTTTCCCATTTCCTAGGTATGCAGTGATGTCCAAAATCAGTGCTGCAACTCTAAAGAGTAAATAAAAAACCTACCCTTTCTGACTGTAGTATCACAAAGGGTGACATTCCCCACCCCCCCCGAACAGCCATTGTAGCTCAAGTGACTGTTGTAAATTGCTCATTTAGGGTCTCTTTAGACACAAGGGAGATTCCTCTAAAACGGAATGACTGGCATGATCTTTTCATACTGTCCCTTCTCTTAATGGCTGGAGAGAGAACCTAAATGCCTGGTCATCTGAAAGTTAGATGACTGGTCTAGGTTAAATAAGAGGGCTCCCATCTTCAAAACTATACAAAATGAAACTCGTCAAATGTTATTCCTAAATATGATAAGCTACATTCTCAGCTGAAAAAGAAACTGTAGAGAAACTCATACAGTTGATACTTTTTATATCATGAAAGAATCACATATCTGTCGATATTCAATGCCATATAAAGATTTTTCCTATCTCACTGCAATACTTTTAAATGTTTTAGTAAAATGTAGTCTGTCCACTTTAAAACTAGTCCTTTTTACTTTTCTGTTTACTGTATATAAGGCTTGTTGTATGGTGAAGTTTTTTTGTTCAAGTTAAATGAGTTTTGTTATAAACTGTGTGTGCAGATCTCAAGTGATAGTCTTTTAATAGATGTCAGATACACTTTAATGTTACTCTCTTTTATTTCGGTAACGTTTTAATTAATTCATACTGATTGAATAAATGTACATTGAGACTTGTTTCCTAATGAGGGCACATTTAGAGGAAAGGTTTTGCATCATTCTGATATCCTGTGGGTAATTATATTCTAATTATATGGTGGGGGGAAAAAGTCTATAACTCAGTGCTGATATTGTTCGTTGGACCCAATTAATTACATGCATATAATGAAAGTTCATGATAAGGTTGACTGGCAGTAAGTTTAAAAATCTTTAACTCAATTGAATCCTAGCCTACCAAGAGTATAGAATTAGATCATAACCAGGTTAAAAACTGGGTATTGGAATGAGACGAGTGTGTAGTGAAGGAAAAAGATTGGTCTCCCATTATGATACAGCTCCTCTCCCCCCACCCCTTTGTAAGGCAGAAAGGGAAAAATGCTAAGATAGGTTTTGGCTTCTTTGTTTCCTGCCGTCCTTTACTTTATTCTGTTTATTGATAAACACATAAGATGTTCTAATTTGTATTTATGTTTCTGGAAAAGTAATTAGATTTTTCTATTTCCCACCAAAATAGATACAGCCTTAATGACAAATCAACAAATAAAAGCCTACTATTTAATAAATATATGTTTATTTCATATTGTATGATGATTTTGAGTCTCGTATTGTTTATGTGATTTTTACAATTAATTGCTTTTTACCTAATTTCTAACATTGGATTTGAAAACTGTAATTAAAACTGTTAATCTTGGAATAAAAAGAAAATTATGGAATAAATTGTAAAACATAAGGTACTCTGATTATGGTATGAGTGTTACTATATGACAGTTATCACTGTCTCCATAGTAACCAGCTTATTTCAAAGAGGGAGGGTCTGGTGTAATATTGAAGACAAGAAGTGAAAGAAATTAAATTTAAAATTGGATCCATTTCCTTGTGTTACATTTTCAACTTCGTTGTTCAGCATTCTGGGACAAATTGGTCATCATGAAAAAAATGAGGAACAACTTTTTGTTTCTTTGCTCTTGTGAATGAGTTTGGCTTTTCTCTTGTCTAATGAAGATGCTTGTAACTTTTTAGGACAAAATAATTTAAGCATAAATTCTGTTTATATAAATACAGAATATATATGTAGAGAGAGAGAATTTGGTATATATAAAATATATATAGCATTTTTATACATCATAAATTTGTTTATATACATCCAATATGAAATACCATCATAAGTCGTGTTCACTTGACCTCTTATTTTAAAACATAAATGGCTGTTTATTTTGGTGGAAGAGACAGATGTATCTGATTTGGGTGGGTTTGGGTTGGTTCAGCATTTTATTGTACAAGAACACAAACATTCAAAAAATTTTTTGTTTATAACTAGTTCTATTTAGGCACATAAAACAATATACACAGCAGATTACAAATTTTTTATCTAAGAAATGTGCCTTGTGCAACTAAACAATATACATTATGATTGGTAGCTTCAAACTTTTCTGTAAATATAGCAAGAGTGTTGACATGCTGTCAAAAAGTAATACAGAATTACAGTTGAAAATATTGTACCAGAATTCTCTTTGACTATCAGTATTTAGAAAGACTAGATAGAATGGCTAATGGCTGTGTTATAATTGCAACATAGTTCAATAGATATTTTTTCCATGTCTGATAATATGTTTTACCAGTACTATTTTCCTATGAGGTAGGTAAACGTCACTCACATAGGAAAGCAGAGATGCAGGGAGAGAAAAAGGAAATTAGCAGTTGCTGGTTGAAGAATGAGCTTTCTTAATCCCTTTTCCCATTTTTAATGCTAAAATGATTCTTCTGTTTTTATTATAGTAGAAATCAGTTTTAACTCAGTTGAATCCAAACTCTACATGGAGTGCAGAAAGTCAGTGCAGTGTGTAAGCATCTTTATGAGCAACTCAATCTTTTGAAGTTGAGTACTAGCCTTATTCTGAGTTTCTGAACAAAAATACTAGAAAAACCCAGTTAGTTGAATATATATGTGCTTCTGTGAGGGGGGGATTTAAATCTAGCTGTTGAATATTAGGTAATGACATAGCAATTGAAACAGGTTTAAAAAACAAAACACTTTTTTCCTTTTCAATTGCATATCATTTTGCAGATTCAGTTCTAAACAGACTTGAAATATAATGATGCGCTTATCTACACTAAGAGCTTTTTCATTTCTTTGAAGTCAGAAGGAAATTAATAATTGCCCTGGAGGAAAATGTGTCTTCCTAACTAATTATCTGTTCAGCAAACACAGTTCAATGTTAAAATAATAAGATGCTGATAAACTGAAATGACAGCCATTCAATCATTTTAAGTTATATCTAGTTGCCTGCCCACAAGTCATCACTACTGTCTGTCCTTAAGTTTATTCCTTACATCCTCTCCCGTTGGAATTTAATGTGTTTTTACTTTCAAAATTCTTTTCCAACTCTTTTATCTTTTTTGGTTGATACATATAATTGTCTGCTATAGCCCAAGTTCATTTTAGGTTGCACATTAAGTTAAATGTATTGGGCCCTACTGTTGGTGCATGTTGTTGCATATATTGGATGTGTGCGAGATGTAAAGGAAGTTATCTTCAGCCAACTAAAAGAACTAAGGCCAACATGCTAAATGAGACATACTTGATTGTGATTTTAATGTGTAATTCTTTACATCTGTATTAAGACATGTTAAACAATCAACACAATGTGTATATATATAAAGTTATGATGTTCAGAACAGTCTTGTGGTCAGCTATTTCAGAAGGTATTCTCTAATGACATTGTCTCCATTCCAGCCTTGTCTTTTTTCCACCTATTTTGTTTACTGGTATTATGGGTGACAAAATATCTCCTTCTGATTGTCATAATGTGATTTTTTTTTTTTTTTCTTAGCTGCAAATGTTTCTTTCAAGGCAGCTTTCAGATAGAAGCCTTATCTTTCCTTTATAGCATGAACATGTGCAGCTCACTTGCTAGTGAATTGGTCACTAAACTTGTCCACAGGATGGCTTTCAGCTTCAGCCCATTGATGTGGAGCTGGGTATTGTGCTACAGTTCTATGAGCTTTCAGGGCACCAACGGTGCCAATGTGGTGTCCTAATATTGGCCCCTCTGATTAGTATGTACACAGGATTACAGCTGGAAATATGGAGAAAATTTTATAAATAAGTTGGATATGATATCTAATAGATATTACAGATAGATTTTTCCCTAGGGACTTGGGGTATTGGTGGTTTTCTTTCAGTTTTCAGGGTGTCTGAATCTTTGATTTTCTTTGGTTGCTGTGTAACTGGGACAGAAATTGTACAAAATGGAAATTTTGTAAGCGAGGTCTTGTATACCACTTAGGTTTACAAAATGACAGTCACTGCATATTAAAGCACAGGTTTTGCATCCCTTGGAGATTCCCATGTCATTAAACAAAATAGCACTAAGGAATCATGGAGCAACTTTCCTCCAAGATCCTTAGAAAAACCCAAAGCATTAGTTTGGTTTTCAAGTCATATATTTGAACTTCCACAGCCTTCATCCTGCAAGCATTTGAGGATACCTTTACACAGTATTCCGTGCATTCCATCTGATCTTCCATGACCAGATTCCCCTGATCAATATCTTTCAAGTTCAAGTTTCAGAGTTCTAATTTTTTTTTTTAAATAACTGTTTCAGTTTATGCATGTTAAGATAGAATTTGGTTCTATTCTTATGCACACCTAACCCCAAGTTGGGCTTTAGGGTATATACCACATCTGAAGGCATATAGTAGAAAAGAAGTAATGATCATACAGAAGTAATCTCAAGTTTTCAGTAGTTACTTCACAAATTGTGTAATGGTATTAACCATTCACTAATAGCTTTACAATCCTACTTCATGTATAAAATAAATTGTCTTAAATAATCTCAGCTGTGCACAAAATAATCCAGAAAAAAAATTGGTTTGCACTTATTGATTAAGAAAAAATGTGAGAAAATGCAACTTTTGCTGCACTGGTACTAGAGTCTGGGTCCACAGTGAAATGTAGAGAGGCAACTACAAAATTATCACGTCGTGATTCCTTGTTCAGTGTCATCAGCTATTTTGGAAGGTATTCTCAGCTGACATTGTTTTGTGTAAATGAAGAGGCTGTACCTCTAAATAAAGAAACAGTAGAAACACTTTTTGAAGATGAATTTTGTCTAGATTGTCAATTGTAGTAGAAGAAAGCTTTTTAAATAAGATTCCTCTCTTCGGATGAGGTTTGAAAGACTTGGAAGAAAAAATAAAAAGAATACTCCCTGTGTACAAAGTATCTCTTTTTACTATTAGAAAGATTATAGTCCTCAGGGTTTAACATCTTTTTATCTTGTGACAGAATGACCCCACACATACTTCCCAGAATGTAAGTTATATAGTATGAAAGGCAAAACATTGGGGGAGTACAGTTGTGCAAGTGTGTGAAAAAGCACCACGTACGCTTGTATCATTCCTCATGTGCACTCTCTCCATACCCCTTGCCGTCCGAGCTGTTTGGTGTTGCAGCCTAACGTTCTCTTTTTCCAACAGACGCTACCCACGTTAGGAGGTTTGCTCCCTGAGGTGCGTAACGGGAGACATATGTGTACGCACGAGTACTAATGGATCATGATTTTGTACATTCTTCTTACTATAAACGTGCATTTTGGGGCTGAACTAGGAATCTAGATATGGTATTCTGTGTCGTCATTTGAAAGACCCTGTCTTATTCATCAATTATTTTTTCTTATTTGGATGAATAAGGGATAGATACAATTAAATAATTCTTATCTGACAGTGATCTCTCTGGAGCAATACTGAATGGTAGAAGCTCCAATTACTGGATATTGACTTCAAAGTGGGAGTTTAAGGGGAGAAAAAAAGGCATGAGAGGTGCAAAAATGGGTGGAAAAAAATTTGTTGTGGTAAGTACTATTTGAAAGGTATGTGCTCTGGCACATAACAAAAGAACAGAAAAGCTTGATTCTTTGAGCCGTCAAAATGTACAATACCTTTTAAAATCTGAAGATCTCTATCAGCCTCATGCATGCTCACTAAATAAGATGGTTCAAAAATACATTTATCATTTTGTATGCTTTAATTAACAGTATATTAAATACAGCACAACTGTTGTAGAAACATTTCTTACCTTGAAAAATAATTTTTTGCATTTTGTAAAACCATTTATTCAGTGCATGTCAAATTTGTCTTAACATTGCTAGAATTTGTAGGCTATTATCCACAGATGATTTTATTAAACTGTTATTATCTCATTAACAAAATGACACTGTTTAGTTCCTGAGACTCTTGGATAGCTTAGTAATGTCACAGTTCCTGAAAGTTAGCTATTCAAACAGTAGTGTACAACTGGATTAGAAAGCCAGCTTTCTATTTCATATATAAAACAAAGTATTTCAAGAATATTTAAAAGATATTTTTAATAAAATGGTAAATATTTTTGTGTTCCATTAATAATTTATTTAGTAGAATTAAGATATGGATTATTACATTATGTCATCCAAACTGTAAGTCAGAGCTTCACTAGTATGACATGTATCTAAAAATTATAGCATATATGACTCTAGGACATCTAGAATCTCATATCAGCTTCTTCAGAAATGTTTCAGAGAGTATTACTGGTAAATGCGGTGGCATATATTGTAGTATCATATGCATACAAGGTGGGTGATATGTAATTCTTTATTTGTACTTTCTTCAAAAATCATAACTGAAGAAGCAGACCTTCAATGATAATGAGGTCAAGTATCCACATTTGTTTTTTTTTACTAACACTCTAGACAAATTTGTATCATTAATATACTTCTTCCTTCATATTGTGTGAAGTGTATGGTCTAATCTTGTGTAGTCACTGCTTAGGTCAAACAATTGTTTTGCTTAAGGGACAGGTAATATAAATTGGAGAAGGAATGTTGCTGATGCAGCAGCCAAAGGGCTGGTGCCAGCTGAGGGCATTTGCCGCTATGTGTATCATGCTGGAACAAAAAAAAAAAAAAAAAAAAAAAAAAGCCAAAATTTTGCTTCAGGTAAATTTTCTGCATTTTGCTTGTAAATTATTAATAACAGCAGGTTTGGGCATTGTGGTAAGCATCCTTTATTATATAAAGACAGTTCTCAGCAGTGTATAAATACTTTTCCTCGAAGTAATGGCATGATAGATGTGAGATGATTTTTAGTGCCACACTTTGTAAGAAGGCCTCTTTTGCACAATGTTTTTTTAACCTCTCTAAATGCACATAGTGTGCTGGATGTGTTCCTTTCTGTTACCTTTTTCTTTGAACTATCACATATATGTTGTTTAGCTAAGACTTTTTGTAGACTTTTTAAAAATTTGCTCTCCATCTCTGATTGTTGATAGAAATAAGTTGTGGGGGGGTTTTTTGGCTTTGTTTTGTTTTGTTTTTTACTAGCTGTGTATCTGCATTACTGACATCTAATTTGATTTTTTGAAGATGTTGCACTATTCAAGAGTCAGATTTGGTCATAATGTAAAATCCTGTTTAACATGCTATGCTTACTTTTTATAAAACTTTGCGACTTTTAAGGGTAGTTATTTGCAAAGCTGTTTAAAACCTCAAAGCTGCTTCTTACATACATAGTGAAGTATGAAGCTTCCTTCATACTGCTTTCTTACTCTCTAACATTGGCATGAACCAATACTGTTGTGCAGTAATGTTTTTATTGGTTCACAAATGTTACGCTGTAGGCCTCATCCTAGTTCTAGTTTCTAAAAAAATCATCAAATAAATAAGTTCAGAGTCAGTGATTTCTTAGACAGTTATTTGGACACTGCTTGTCTGTGTTTTGAAGGTTAGGGCTGAGATGAGTGGCTCTAATTGCTTTTACTGTTCTCTGTTTAAAGCAATGATACTGTAGGCTAGCCTCTTGGAACTCCTCTTGAACTGATCAAGTTACTCAAAGCATCCAAGAGCTCAGTTAACTAACCTCTTAGGAATCTCACTGCATATGGGAAATAGTGTACACTCTGCTTTTTTTTTTTTTTTTTTCCCTTATTCTGTGGCATGGGTCTGTCACTCCTCTTATAGGAAATGTGATAAGATTGGCACAGTTCTCCAAAGCAGCCTGGGATGACTTGGACCACTGTTTACATCAGGACTAGACCGAGGCTGTGTCACTCTACAAGTTTAAGGAAACCAAAAATGGTATAAAAACAGTGAAGAGCCATGTCTGCGTTACAGTAATACTAGGAAAGTACTGTATTAAGCTGTGAGCTATTCCCTTCCTGGCAGAGAATCTGTGTCGATGTTTCTTACCATTTTAAACTGCTCCAGAAAGAGTGGCGTGGATTAATTGCTAGTGCAATCCCTAAGGCTTTGTCAGAGGTAGCACAGAGATTGGTTTGGCCTGGTAGGGAACGTAAATGGCAACATTTAATGAACTGCTTACTGAGTGCAGTTGCAGGGGGTGCAGCAGTGTCCTTCATGCTCCTCTTTAGTGCAGCAGCTTTGTGCCAGCCCATTCCCCTGACTAGTTTAACGCCTCCTTGCACTTGTGAAGTGAGGATAGTGAGTGGGGTGCAGTTGGGACTGGGGACACAGATTCTATTTGATAAACATCTGCTGTCTTAATTTATGGTGCATTTTTGGACAACTTAAAGGACATGCTGGATGCAATTTGTAAATAGGATAAATGAGATGCAAAGAGCAAGGACTTTTTTCTTCATTCAGAGTTCTCTGAAATGACCTGACAACAGTTGAAAATATGATTACAGCAACATACTTCTGAGTTTTCCTCTTTCAAATAACCATCTGATTGTGCTGTGTATCAGCATCAAATGTTGCCAGCGGCTTACAATATGATGTAGATTCTGGTTTCTTTCTGATTAAAAATACATAATTTATAAAAAGCCACTCAGCCAATTGATTACGATACATTTAGAACAGGTATATTTTGCCAAAGTGGTAAAGTACTCTTGAAGCATCCAACCTTTGCTAACACTTAGGATGAAATTTTGATAAATTACTGATCTCTTAACAATGTACTTATTAAACAATCAAGTATTTTGTATGATGGGCTTTCAATTTTCAGAATGCCATCCTGGCAATATCAGATTATCTTTTCACATCATTGCATTAATTTGTGTTGTGACTGAACACTTTTCAACTATCCATTGCCTAGTCATTATGGAATGTCCAGGCACATAGATAGTTGCTATGTGAAGTGGCCAGCCATTGTGTAATAACTTGACTGAGATCTCATTTTCATTAAAGCAGAATCTGACACAACTCTCTAGTCAAAAAACAACTTTTGGAGGCACAGTCTCAGTTACAGTTGTATAGGATTATATTATATGTTAAAGTGTTCAATTTTCTCCTTTTCTCTTTTTTAAAGGAAAGACAGGCAACAGTGAAAAAAGAAAAGAGTTGCCCACAGCAAATGAACAAACTAGGAGAGCGGAACAAAATGCAAAGAGCAAATTCTGTCACCGTAGATGGACAAGGTCTTCAGGTGTGATTATTGTTATTTTAATTTTAAGGAGACACTTCTAGGTGTATGGAGACAATGACATAGTGAGCAACCTTTAAAGTGAAATATGTCCTATACATTCACTCTTCTAATACTTAATGTTTACATATTAAAAATATAATAATAAGGTTCTTCCATCGGTGCAGGAATCCTATGGTGCAAATCTACTTCTCATGTGACTGGTAGGATTTCCTAAGACATTGAGAGAGGGAAAACTAGCTCTAAAACATTTGTATTGTGTTTTAATAAAACTAGATTGTTTTAGTATCTGTCACACAGCACTGTATGAATTTATATTATAAATCTGAGTCTATGTCTTGAAAACTGTTCCCTGTTCTCATTTGGACCTGTTAATTAATAGATGTAGAGTAGACTTCAACAATATATTTATCTAGGTATTTCCGAGTATGGTATTTGGCATATCAAAATGAAGAGTGGAGGGAAGCAAGGTGGTTTTAGTAATAGAGATATTTAAAAGTGGAAGTGTTTTCTACTTGAAAAAAAAACCTCTGTGTGTGTGATGAGCAAATGTTCTTCTAGAGACATGCCAGCAGTTCTGCCTGAACTGCTTGACTTCTTTCCTTTGAGATGTGAGTACTTTTGAGTAAAGTCAATGTTCACATGTATGATGATACTTCTTTATTTCCTCAGGACTTCAGTGATCATCATGATAACAATGTAATAATCATTTGATGTACATAGTTTACTGTTCTCTGTATCATTTGATGTGTTGCAATTGAGGTTCAGTAAAATGTACAAGATTCCATTGCCATATATCAAATGCTCTATACCTCATAATTATTTCATTATATACCTTAGTGTGTCAGGATAGAAAGGCTTATTTTATTGTTTCATCGTTTTAGGTTATTGAAACATTCTTTTTATGACAACCCAAAGGAAAAAAAAAAAAAGGAAGAAACAATCAAAACCCTAAAACCTATGCAGTCACATGGCTGCTCTATTGATGGTCTAGTAGAATACTACAGGGATCATTGTCCATGGCTTTCAAGGTTCTTTTCCTGTACTTACCATCCTCACAGGCTGCATTACTATCCAGATCATCTGTGACAGAGCAATAAGCAAAAAGACTAAAATATTCATGGAGAGAAAGCTCATGTTCTGGCTAATCAGTCACAGTGCGAAGAGTTGTTCTAATAGTTATTAATAAACTGGTGCTAGAGGAGGCACACAGAGTTTTCTAACTCTTGGGTGATATCCGTGCCATTCCAGTGAGTCCAACTTCTCTAGAGGAACATCTTTGGCATCTCCTTTGGTAGCAGCACCATGTATCATTATGAATTTTGGTTTTACCCCAAGCATTCGATTGCTTTTTCTCATAGTATATTTTCAGGTAATTTTAAGCCTCTGTTTCCCACTCATGGGATACAGTGCCTGGGATATAGTGCAGTTAGGAGCCTGTTCAAAATATCAGACTCCTAACACCACCGACTCTTGCACACATAGCCTTAAATTATTGAAATTTCTGCTCTCAGATAGTTATGGCATAAGATTTTCTAAAATTTTGTTAGTATGATCCAAAACTTATGGTTTATCTTCTCTTTCCGCAATGAATCCAAAGCCTAGGATTCATCATTGCTTTTATTTATTATTGCATGAGTATGAGAGAAAGAGAGAGCGAGGACTTTTTTAGGTTTGGGTGGTTGTTTTTTTTTTTTTTTCAGATGGTATAATTTTGAGGCTATTTCCACGAAAATGTAAGATTCCATAAATATAACCGGTAATTAATGTTAGTATTTTGCCTAAAGATACTCTGGAGCAAAAAATTTCTGTACCTGATCAAAGTATACTACTCTAATTCTCCAATATCTTGCCAAAGCATGCTACTTTGATTCTAGTACTCTGATTTTGCTAGCATGGTCTCGTTTTAACATTATCTTCAGTGAACAAGAAAAGGATTTTTGTGACTTTTTTTGGAACCTTTTTTATTCAGAAAACATGATCATGTTAATTGCATTTGTTTATGATTTAAGTTCCCAAGATAACTTATCAAAGATTCCCAGCAAATCTTCGTGGAGGTTGCCTTTAAATTGTGCTAGATTAAGGCTTAAAAATATTCAACAATTTAGTCTAAATTTTTAGTTGCATTGTTTATTATACGGAAAGTTCCATGTTATCTAGAAAAGTAATTTGGAAAAGCTGTAAGAAATTAATTAAAAGACACCTTATTTTGAAATTGAGTGGAATACAATCTGGTTATTAGATTTTTTTGATGGTCCTAAACCTTCTAGTTACAATAACATGGTTAAGTTTTGAAATAAAAGATTTAAAAGATAAATAAGTTCATAATTTAGCTTTTGTTGAGAAAAGTATCAAGACCAAACCTTCCTTCCATCAGATAGCAGTGAGCAGATAACTTAGTGGCAGTGGAGATCTGCACGACTTAAAGACAATTAATCATAGTTAAGCACATTCATCTTACTTCTTTCTAGCTAACCAGCATAATGATCAGGATTATTATTTCTAATTAGAGGAAGTAATAGATCATGTATAACCTTAGGATGAGTCTCATTAATTAACCTGCGTCCTAAGGGATTTCAGTAGGTAGTCCATCTCTGTCACAATGAGCACCATTGGTTTACACTTACTTCACAGGAACAAACATCATGGGAATTGGCTAAATAGCTAAAATTGATTAAAACAGTAGATAAAAATCAAATATATGACAAACTTCAATATATCCTGCAATTTGATATATGTTTCACCATGCAGCACTTTACTGTAATAACATACTGTGCCAGAATGTGATATGGGTTGGTTTTATGCTAAGTTTAATTCCACCAAGTTTGCTGGAGTTTTTTGTTATTTGTTGCATATATTGGAACAGATTTGGATCCGTTGACATACTAGTGCCTGACAATTCCTACTAGAAGAAAAGTGCTTTTAGATGTCTATAGGATTATATGCCTATGTTTATAGGATGCCTTTAAGACTCCTTACCTATCATGTTTCTCGGGTTCTGCCTTAAATTACATTTTATGAAATCTTCAGCTGAAAAGATTTTGTTATTTCAGGAATTATAAATAAGGATTTGGAGCAAGAGCTTTCAATGTATCATTTTGAAACAGACAGTCTAAGCTTCATCTCTGAAGTTGTTAGTGCATGACTTTGGAGACGTTAACTTTGAACTCTTAAAATTATTTTAAACATTCTAGAATTGATATCTGTCTAAAAATGATAATTTTAAATATGAATAGCCTGGCTATGTGGTTTAAAAACAGATATCAGAGAGAGATCATCTAATGTAATTTTTTTACATTCTTCAAGTCCATGGAGCAAAGGCAGTGGACATGCTCATCTTACAGCATCTAAAAATGCAGGCTAACGCTACTATTTAGAAGGAAGGTGCTAGTTAAAGCTAAACATTAATGTGAACATGTAAAACTTTCCATACACAAAAGAATTAAAAAATGTAGTAGAAGTACTTGTTCCCTTCTGTACATCCTCCTCTCTATTCTTTTCCACATTTTCCCCTCTACTTTTTGAGTTTTCCAGCTTTCTAAGGTGTTTAAAGGAATTCATTATTGTTATGGTTGCTACATTTTAAAAATGTGCAATTTCATGTCATATCAAATACTGCAGGATTCTGTAATTTAGAAAAAAAAAGTTTGAAAAGTATCTTGTGAAGTTTAAATTTTTATATAGCTATATTTGACCTTTATAGTATGGTGTAATTTCTCACTATAAGATGCAATGTCTTCATAGCTTTTTCCATAGGAAATTACTGTACTGTGAGAAGCAGTCATGCATTTCTTACATTTAAAGTTTTCTTCTCTAATGATGGATGTAACCTATATATATCAATATTTCAATGGAATTATAGGTTAAAATGGCATCACAGCTGTAAGACAGCATTAAAAAAAAAGTCACTTGCAATTTGTGGCAAATTAATGAAGAGAGTATTATTGTAAATTATGGAATTGATTCCAGCTGGATTACATAGCATAACATAGGGTTTGCATTAAGCTTTTTGTTTTCTGTCTACTATAGGAAAAATGAATGCAACACACAGCATTAATGAGTGGCTGTGTTATTCCCTTCTTTTAGATCACTCCAGTTCCAGGCACTCATCCACTTTTAGTTTTTGTCAATCCTAAAAGTGGTGGGAAACAAGGAGAAAGGTAAGGTTTCTTTTGTCTTTTTTTTTTTTTCCCTCTCTCTATTCTGATCTCAGTGATATGTTTAAAAATGAATGTTAAAAGTTTGTATATGAAAATAAATCTGACATTTTATACTGTTACACCTCACATTTGAACATCTCATTGCCCTGATTAGAAGAGGTACGTACTAACATATAGTTGTAAATTCTGCAGTTTAAAACTAGAATGAGTACTATACAACAGTCTCATTTCATATCAGAAAAACTATCTATGTTCAGTGTATGGTTTTATGTGATTTGTGTGAAGGTTTGAGTTGCTATATTTTGAATTGCAACTTTGAAGTTATAACAGTTTTCTTTTAATCTCTGTTATAATTATGCAGACAGGCCAATAATTTAGACTGGAAACAGTATTCCTTTTTCTAATGTATGACTTGCCTTTTGAAGATTTAGTGAGTGGACTCTCCAGCCCCTCCAAAAGGTCTCCTACAAAGAAAGGTTTTTGGTTTCTGTAAACAGGAAGAATTCTAACAATCCAGTTAAAGTCCAATCACACAAACTGTAAAGACATGTTTAATTTTATTTATATCAGTAATTACATTGATTTAAATTCAAAATGCAAAAAAAGTTTTTGTTTAAATGTTAGTGTATCAGCGGCATAACAAAACAGAGGTGAGGAGGATTCTCTTCGTACTCTGTTCATCAAAATCATGCAGAAATGCTGAATTGGTTACTCCCTGAGCAGATTTTTCAGGGTGTATTTCAGAATCACAGGAGCTAACAGTATGGGCTTTTTTGATCATCACATAAATCCCCAAATTGTTATGGCCTAGATTACCATGTCAGTGCTGTAATTTATCCTTCAAGTCTTGAAACAGGTTACACTCGAGATCAGGCTGAAGATGGGTGATGTGGGTACCCAAAAGCACAAAAGGAGGGATCTGGTGTGAGTCTAAAGCTTGGAACCAAGCAAGGAAACTGCAAGTAGGTCAGCTTTCCCTGCCTCTTCCCCACTGCCTCCATTATATCAGTTCTTTCAAACAGTGTCCCTCAAAGTAAACTGACAAAAGGAACAAAATCCTACAGAGTAGATGTTAGGGGAATTCTCAGAGCTGAAGAGCATTTAACCGAAACCACTTTCAAAGAACTCTTGAGAAAACAGAATTTAGGAGCTGGTTATGTAATCCTTGGACTGATATACCTAGATATCAGCAATACCAGAAACACTGGTTGTGTCAAATGCAGTTAATGATCTAAAAGTTTCATTCTAAACAGATTCAAGAACATGCCTTTGCAATCACAACAAAATAATATGAGCCATCCTGAGCATTCATGTTTCAGATACAGGAGCAGTGTGAGGTATCTCTGGTCTTCTGGGCAGTCAGGGGAATTGTGGAAGGTAATGCACCAACATTCAGCCTGACTTTTTTGTACTACTGATATGAAGGGAGCAGATAGGTGATCCAGCCTGGAATTATTTAGATGAGAGGCAGGTTAGAGAGCTGCACTTATGTAGTTAGTTATAACCTAAAAACAATTTAGTGAAATGCTGTTTCACAGCTTACAGTTCCCAGCTCATAATTGGTCTCAAGTGTTACTATCTGGATGGGCTTAATGCATGAGGGATGTCATTTAATGTTAGATATTCTCCAGGGTAAAAGCAAGTTTAAAACCTGATCCCCTTCCAAGCTCCTATTCCCATTCACGTATTGCAGTCTGACACTTCTCAGTTTGTTAATGCAACTGTTACTGAGGCCAAGCAGATCACCAAAATCATTTGAATTTAAAAAATTAATGCCTTATACACGCTTCATTCACTAACACCGTCACCTACAAGTACCATTACACAGTGAAGTGTATAGGATGAGGGCAGCCACCAGCAGCTGAGTATAGTGAAGTATGAGAACCTCTTAAACAGGCTTTGATACCACACGACATAAAATGTTAAATTGCATACTAATGTGTCAAGGTTGCACTCAATACTTATTTGTTAAGAGGAGCACATCAAAAGTTCAGCTGTGTAGTCATGTAAACGTATCTCAAGTCATTCATCAGCAGGAAATAGTATCTCATGGTTAGTTCTAAAACCAGATTAAAAAAAGGTTAAAAAAAGTCCACGTATGGACTATTTCATGAGAAGGGGTTTGCCTTCTGCCTTTTAGGTGTTAATGTTTCATATCAATACTAGTAAAATAATCAAATTACAAAATAGGGATGTTAAGAGTGCATATTACCTTGAAGAATTAGTCTAAGGGATGAAAACATTTTCAGGGCACAATAATATTTACCTTTTTTACTTTTCCTCATTTCTATCTGGCTGCTCTACAGTCAGTAACCAGAAAGAGAAGAATCCCATATTTTGCACACCCCTGCCCTCCCCCCACCCCGCCCCACCTCATTTTGTGACAGTGATATGTTGTGAAAAGTACAGTCACAGGACATTTGAAGACATAAATAGCTTTGCAGAATGCACAGTTATGGTTATTCACTTCAGGCTTTTTGATTATAGCAATTTTGTCATCTGGTCAGGTATTGAGAGGCTAGGAGTAGAGGATAGGCTGTAACAAAAGGAAGATTTCCACAGCAGTGAGGGGAAAGAAAAAACAAAACACTACAACCTACTAATTTTTGTAGATGAGAATTTAGTTGCCTTGACTCATTCAGATTAAGGTAATCTTTTACTGAAAACTATTCTTTAGTCTTTACTTGGGATTTTCTGTATTTGAGAGATCATGATGAATGAAGTAATGATTTCTAATTGACTTTCATTGAACACAGAAAGGTTATTGCAGATACTGTCAAGACTCCAGTGTTCCCACAGTTCCCTGTATGAGATTGTATGCCTTGCCATATGGTTACCCAGCCCATTTCATTGCCCTTAGACTGGGAGAGAGTGTATGCATCTGTCTGACAACCAGTTGAATAAATGTACTCCCCCAATAATACTCTGTCATTTCCTTTTGCATTTTGCATTTTTTTTTTTCAAATCTCTCAAATGCAAAGGAAAAGAACTGAGGATCACTTTAAGGTAAAAAAAATTAGGTGTTTTAGTTTTTGAATGGAATAGAGGGGTGGTAGAAAACAAATAGATTTGAAGAAAAAAGTCCATTCAAAACACAAAAATACTTTCTCTGCAGCCATATCTAACTACCTTATTCATATATTTTAAAACTTTGATTCTGTTAGAAAGCCATAGTTGTCTAACATTCTAAAATGTATTAATATAATGTTCTTCTTGAATAGGTTTATCTTTTGAAAAACAATGCTATGACTTTCAGATATAATTGCAAAATAAAGAACTGTGAAAATAACCCAGTTGTGCTTTCTTCCTAGTGGAGAGATTAATAGTTATTGCCCATCACCTGAAACACAAATGCATTTACAGTTATTTGGACTTAAATTATTTAGTCCAATGGATAATGCATAGGTTTATAATAAAATTGAATAAAAATATAATTCAACGTTTTTTAAGAAGAAAGTAGCAAATTAGAATTTAAGTTGGTTTGTTTAAGCCTTTCACACACCAAAAATACATTTTAATTAAGCATGAGTTTGGATAGGAGTTCAGCAAACCCAGTCCAATATCTTCCTTGGGCTGCATTGCACTGTAACATGTTTCAGTGATTGTAAGATGGACAGGTGTGGTTAATGTCATCAGAAGAAAATTGCACTATGGGCTATGCACTATACATGCTAGGGCTAACAGTCCTGTATGTCTGGATTTAAGATCTGACTACTTAACAGCTTTCAATAATCTGCAAATAGAATGTATATATTTAGTACATCATTGACGAAACAGTTTATTTCAAGAGAAAGAATATACAAGAAGCATGTAGTGCTTCTAAAGACTGTTGTTAAGGGTAATCCTTCTCATATAAGAGTCCTTCTAAATCATGCTGTTGTTTTGCCATACTCATTACTTTGTTTTCCACTTCCCTATTTTCCAATTTATTTGCCTGACCAGCAGGTGAGTTTAAACAATTGTTTCCTTGACAAATGTGCGGTTGGATGCACTGGAGATCAGG